GGGCGATGAATCAGCACAACGAGCAGGCGGGGGGAGATGCACAGTTCAGATAAGCACAGTTCAAAGGAAGAAAATGGCATGGTGGGTGTAAGCTGTTTACAAGGAAAGCTGGATGTAAAAACAACAACCAGCCCTCCACCTCTGCCCCGCGATCTGTGGATATTAAAACACGAGCAGCCAGGTGGTACCAGCTCCAGCAGGGCGCTCGAGTCACCAAACGGGACCCAGGACTCACAGATGCACAGAAAACCCAAGTTATGCTGAATAAAAAAGTCATAAAGAATAAAAGTTTTGTTCAGCACAGACCTGGCATTGACTAGACCAAACCGGGTCTGCGGCGGGGCTGCAGCACCGGGATCGCGCACGGGCCCAGTCTTCTTTAACTCTGAGCCCGTAACCGAGCGCAGATTCTCCCAGCAAACCCCACTCTGGCAAGATCCTCGAGCCGATTGGCCGTGGCGCTGTGCCAGTTCACCCTCAGAGCCGGCCAGGTTCAGTAGGCAGGGCGCCGAGTAATCCTTCAGACGTCTCGGAACCACCGGGTCAGAAGCTGGGCCGAATCGGACCAGCCGCTTCTTCAGGGATCCAGGAAGTCCAGCCCGACGTCTCATGCGCCGGCTACCTCTCTTTCCCCGTCTTCTCTGATGCTTCCTTCTCGAGCTGGGGAGGACAGAGGGCCGACACATCACGGCTTTGGGGGAGAGAGCACACGGGCAGTCCAGACAGCAACGCCATCCGTGAGGTTGCCAGCGCGCAGCACCCGCTACATCAACGGGAGGACGAAGCCTCAGCAGCGCAGCTCAATCATAAGTCACCAGAGAAGCCACACCATTCAAAAAGCATCAGAGACAACAAAAATACATAAAAGCCAATAAAACGCCAATAAAAGCCAATAAAACACAAGGTTCCATTGCATAAAGAGGACGAGCAGCTCGCTGCGTGCACCCGCGCGAGCGCCATATCAACTCAAATTTGGTGAAAGTAAAAGCTAAATAAAATTATTAACAAAAAATGATTAATCGTAAAAATAATCGACAGATTAATCGATAATGAAAACAATCATTAGCTGCAGCCCTAGTAAGAACACTTGTTGGGGCCCAACAGCAGACCAACTACAGCCCTTTTAGAACGGGTCAGACAACCTGTTGGTACCAGTAAGGACAAACCAGAAAACCTGTTAGGGCTGGTTTAGGTGGGTCAGAGGACCAGTCTGCTTACCTAACTAACAGGTAGTACTGATCCAGACCTGCAACACAAACTCTGCAAGCTGCTCTGACCTGTGAATGTGGAGCTTAGAAAGACTCGGATCATGTTGGTCGTTGTTCTCCGAGTCCCATCAGAGCGTCCTCTTAGGATGTCTTGCAGGCAGTTGTCTCCACCTCTTCCTGCCTCCATCCTCCACAGCCTCAGCCTGCTGCCTGATCCGTGTCCTCCTTGTTCAAATTAACTCTTCTTCTCTGAGCTTCTGGCTTCACACTGGAAGCCGTCACAACTTGTTCTGTCCCGACCAAATTACTCGCTTCCAGGTGGATGAGGATAAAAGAGGAGGAGGTTTTCACAAAGACAGGCGTAAGTGCTCAGCTCACCTGCTCAGGTGTTTGTGTCATCTCACCTGAGTGTTCACTGAGTGATGCCCTGGGGGGGGGCCAGGGGGCTGCAGCTCAGACTAATTGCAGCAAAAGAACATGAGGAAAACAACATGTTGATCTGTGCTGAAACAGATTCAAAGCTCTGACATCACCCAGGTGTGCAGCCTCACCTGTTAAATGAAGCACAAGATTAAAAACAAGTTCTGTTTTTGACTAATAATTTTCTCACTTTGCTCCGTGTCAGGTCCGTCTGTGTTTGCGTGTGACGGGAAGAACCATCACACACAAAACTCAAGCCTGCAGTTAGTCCACCACTTGGTCACTTAACATCTGCTGTCGAGTAAATCTTTCATTTGTTCAACTTTTTGAGTTTGAAATGAAACGGTCTGCCAGCCAAGCAGTTTGAAGTTCACTTCTATTGGGTAACTCTTTATAAAGTTTAGCTGTTAAACACTGACACTGAACCAAAGCAAGTAAGTGAGTAAAACTTTATTTATACAGCACTTTTCACAGATAAAATCACAAAGTGCTTCACAACATACATAAAAAGGCAAAACAGGACAGGAGCACAAGCTCAACTTACATAACAGCTTGTCTGAATAAAAGCGTCTTCAGCTGCTTTTTAACAGAATCAACCGAGTCGGCCACACGAAGAAACAAGGGCAGGGCGTTCCAAAGTCTGGGAGCTACAGCTTGAAAGGACAGGTCCCCTCTAGTTTTAAATCTGGTCTTAGGGACCTTCAGTGGGTTCTGACCCGAGGACCGTAGAAGAGTGAGGGATTAAAAGGTCTGATAAATATTGTGGAGCTTGTCCATTAAGAGCTCTAAAAGTCAAAACTAAGATTTTAAAATCAGTTCTATCAGTTCTAAATCAGTGGGCCTGCTTTACCTGCCCCCACTAGTTTCCCTGTAGATAAGGGCAATCTCTTCTTAGATCTTCTTAGTCGGTTATATCCACATTCCCAACATCCCCCCATCCTTCTCACGTCGTAGGCCGGTACTCTGGCTGGACCCCTAGTAATCCCATCAGAACTTCCTATTGGTTTAGCAGAGTCACCTTCCTTTTCAGATGTTTGTAGCTTCTTGACCATTTCCTACAAACACTGCACTTCCTGTCTCATTTGCTCCATCATCCCCAACAACAACCCCATTTGGTCTTCCTTACTAGATTTTTCCACAGACACCCCCATGACCTTAACATTATCAGCAGCCTGATTTTGTCCCAAGCTCCTAACAGCTCTATTTTGGAAGCCAGTTCAATAGTTTCCTCTAAAGTCTTAGGCTTGCATGCACGCAGGCTAATTCGAAAGCCCCCAGTGGCAATATGTGAGATGAACTGATCTCTTGCCAACATATCCTGAGTATTTTCATCTGCTGGGCGATGTGCTTGTGCAGCCAAACGCCTCAATGCATTTCCAAACTCCTTTGCAGTCTCCTTAGGTCTACGGCGTCTCGCTGTAGAACTAGCGCTACTCCAGTCATCAGTGTCACATGGCTCAAAGCATCGGGTCATGGAAGCTTTTAAGTTCTTAGCTTCCTTCGACAGACCACTGTACATATCCCTTGCCCCTCCAGATAAAGGGAGAGACATAAACTTCAATTTGAGTGGCTCATCCCAATGACTGACCTCCGCTGCCAACTCAAACTGCTCTGACCAGTCCAACCATTCACCCCAACTAACCCTAACCCTCACCTGTAAAAGTTTCTGGCATAAACGGTTGCTTGGCTGGCCAACAACCCTGTTAACTTTCAGTTTTCCTCTCCACTGTCGCTATATGCTTGCTTAGTATGAGGACTGCTGTATAGTCACTGACACTAGTCAGTGACTTGATGCAACCTGCTGGGTTCCTTATATAGGAAACTTTATTTCTGATTGGCTTAATGAACTGACCTGAACTGGAATGTTTATTATGGGAAGTGCCTTGAGACGACTCTTGTCGTGATTTGGCGCTTTATAAATAAACTTGAATTGAATTGAATTGAATTGAACTTCCACCAAGCTGTTCCCCAGACACCACTCACGACCCGCTCAGCCTCTCCCCACGTACCAATCACCCACTGCGTTATAAACGCAACACTTTTGTTTTTGCTCCCAGTCTTCATGATCTGAACTCAAACATCTGAAATCTGTCTACATGTGTGTGTTGGTGGACACTTTTAAGAAACAGCTGAAGACCCTTTCATTTAAAGCTGCTTTCACATAAATCTGTATTTTTTACTTGAATTTGAAATAACTTTTCGTTTGTTTTCTGATGTTTTATCATTTCAAGCTGGGCTGAAGGCGTGTCTGAGTTCTGGTTCTTGAATTTTCTACTCATGTTTTAGTGTTTTGCTCATCGTTGTTGTTTTCTCATCTTTGAATGTTATATTTCTGTATTTTATCATCAAGCTGTTTGTGTTTTAGTTGTTTTTACAGTATGTTTGGTACCTTGGGTCGCCTTGGGTAGGAAGGGGCTTTGCAAACAAACTTGTTTTTAACTCAAACCCATGCTGTAGTTCTTTTTTAAAACACAGAACAGTTCTGTTACCTGTTTTCTCGCTACGTTTCCTTTGCGGCTAAATCTCAACCTAACAGATCCTTGGAGATTAGCAAACCCACTTGTTCAGTCCTTTTCGTGGTTCAAGCCTGATGGTTCGGCTAAATCGCATATCGACTTCTGTCTAATCTCAGACAGCTTAATGCAGAATAGTGTAGATGTGGGTGTCTCAGCTGCGCCTTAATTTACACAGTAAATTAATAGCTGTATATTTATGACTGTATATTCTGTAAAGCCCTGTGGAACGATGTGCACTACTGGCTCTTCCCTAAGATCCCAAACTTACTTGAATTTTCTAAAAATGATATTATGTTTGGTTCTCTAAGAAAAGAAAAGAAGATTGAAAATGTTTAAATGTAATAATTATTATGGGCAAATTCTTCATTCACAAATGTCGTTTTCTGAAAACAAATCCGTATTTTTTACTTTTTACAAAGAACTCTGCCTCCTTTTCTCATCTGTTAAATTTATGGTCAAAAAACAAGCTCTGGATTTGAATCATATGATTGTTGAACTAGATCTGTTAGAAAGCCCCTAAGGTATAACTTTTTTATGTTTTTTTTAATTATCTGTCTTTTTGTTCATTTGTTTGCTTATTTTGTTTGGGGTTTGTTTTTATTTTATTTATTTATTTGTTGTTGTTTGTACTTCCGGTTCATTATCCTTCTGCTATATGTTGGAATTCAGCCTGTTCTGGTACCATCTCATGTTGGTAAAACTGAATCTTTGTAGAGATTGCCATAATTGTTGTACATTATATTTTGTGCAAATTAATAATAATAATAATAATAATAATAATAATAACAATAATAACAATAATAATAATAATAATAAGTTTGTCCATTTCCGCCGGTGCGTCATGCGGGGTCTTCCGGCGGAAGTAAACAATGCGCTAGCATCGTTAGCGTCATTAGCATCGCTGTGTTTGTGCTGGTTGGGAGGCGGTGTTGGGTGTGAGGTGAGTGTGGAGGCTCTGCAGCAACATGTCTTCAGCTCAGGCTCTCAGAGAGTTTATCAGCGAGCGGCTAACTGCTGCTGCTGGAGAAATATTCTCCGAGTTTGAAAGAACCATCGTCCGCTACGAGGAGGAGATCGATCGTCAGCGCAGACTGCTGGAGACGAGCCGGAAACCACGGATCTTACACCCAGCAGGTAAACATCATAGATCCGCATCAGCAGATGAATCCGCCCACAGCGGCTGTCTCTGGGATGACCTGCCCACCAGACCGCGCCTCGGCCCGGCCTGACGAACCGTGTTAAACCAAAATAGTTCAAAGACGTGCTATAAATACTCAAATGGCGTACTAAAGAGTAGAATAAAGAATAAGAGTATCAGAACAGATTTGATCAAAGATGGCTGCTTTTTCATTTAATTTAATCATCAGCGCGTTCTGTATGTTTTATTGAAATCCACCAAACATGGTTTTTGATGATCATTGTTATGTTTGACGTCATAGACATGAATAAGTAGACGGCCCATTGGGCGCTGGAGGGTGTAACAGCGTCGCCGCCATATTGGATGGGTCTCCTCGCGCTCCAGAGTCAATGCAGAGTGAGCAACAGTGCCCGTTTTTGTGCAGCCTACGGTTACAACTGGCGTGCCATTGAAAACCGATCACGTGGGATTACTAGTTACCTTTGTAGCCCACCAGATAGGATTTTATATTTTAATTTATTTTGTGTAATTATATTTTTATTTTGATCATATCATACCTTGTGTCTGATTGTGTGAAAAAGGAGTGTTTACTAGTTGTGTCAGCACCTTCCTCAGTAGAAATGAATGCACGCGGGGCGAGTGGAGACCCATCTCAAAGAGCAAACAGCAGGTCAGACTCCCATGAACCGATGTTTAGAGAAAAATAATAGAAACTTGTTTTAAACATTTTTTACATAAACATAAATTATTTAGGCTTTTAGTCATTTTTGGGAGAAAAATGCTTTTTTTGCCAAACCAAGTGACGTCAGCTGAGGGAGTCCTGTTAGCTTAATCCAGAGAAAATCTGGACTCTACTGCGGCTCTGACACAGAGGAAGCTTTACATGTTTATAATTCTACTTGTGATGGACCAGAACCATAAAGTTATGAATTTGTTGTTCTGACCTGGTTCTGACGGTGATCTGAGCTCCAGAAATCCACATTTCATGGTTTAAAACCGTCCACGGGCCTCCGGAGCCCAGCGCGGACCTCCCTGACCCGGCACCGACCGATGTGGGCTACAGAAGTCCGTGCTGCAGAAACGCCCTCAGGCATGGAGATAGAGGCGCTGTTCCTCTGATCAGGAAACCCGTGGACTCGATGTCCAGACAGGCTGGAGTCGGTACAGCCTTCACACACTCTAGTTTACCAACATGAACACAACCCAACACTAGTAAACACACACTGACTGGATCACATGACCTCTCTACCCTAAACTAGCCGCTCTCCACACTGAGCTGAGGCAGCCGAGCTTCTGACTCCCTTTGGTTACGTCAGAGTTCACATTCAGAAACCAGAGAGAGGAACTTTTACTAGAACACGCTGCTGTTATGTGTTTTATAACCAAATATCCACAATAAGCTTGTCTAATAGGACAGAATTTTATATGAATCAGAAAAAAGCAGTTTGCTCTTTAGCTGGTGGCCGGAGACTACAGCAGCTCCAGTAGGCGGCGCCAGCCCACGGGGCGTCTACGTATGTATGTCTGTGCTTCACGTGGGTTTCTGTAACATGGCACCTGTGAGTTGGGCGGGATCAAATGTTTGACTCCGCCCACGTCGCGCCTCGCCCTGATCTGTGTACTGCAGTCATGGGCTACTCGCTCTGGCTGAACTCGGAGCTCTGGCTGGAACTGGAAAAACAGGAAGTGAGTTGACCAACCAGATGTGAGAAATGTGTCAGGTGTTCACCAAGATCCTCAGACGTCACACGTCCCTTAAGCTGCTCCAAGCTATTGCTCCTGCAGTAGCCACAGCAGTCACACGTCCCTCAGGCACTCAGACGAGGCTGGGTCCACTTAATGTGAATAAATCTGTTAAACATCCATTTGGTAATATGTGGGTATTAATCTGTGAGTGTAACTGATAATTAATCATGAAGTCATCAAGTAGACTCATTTAGTGCATTTAAGATCTGAAATAAGTCATGAAGTAATAAACTTGTCTCTCGACTCGACCTTTCTTCCTGCAGCAGCTTACAGACGCGTACCTGCCACCAAAGTGCTTCACAGATAAAAACACGACACATAAAATCAGCTAAAAATGAACAAAACAACCAAATAAAAAGATGTAAAGTGAGACTGAAACAGCGACATCGTCACTCGCACAGATTTAAAAGCCAGCTCGTACAAGCGGGTCTTCAGCTTGGACGTAAACACCGCTACAGAAGAGGACTGCTGACTGTGTGATGGAAGCTCATCCGTAGTTTCAGAGCTGCAACTGAAAAGGCTCTGTCACCCCGCATCCTCAGCCGGGACCGGGGACCACGAGCAAGGACAAGTCCTCTGACCGGAGAGCCCGAGAGGGAACATACGAGTGCAGCGTGTCTGCCAGATACGCCGCAGCCAAACCATTTAGAGGTTTAAAAACCAGTAAAAGCATCAGGAACCGATGCAGAGCTGCCAACACGGGCCTAGCATGGTCCAACTTTCTCCCAGCAGCATGTTGGACACGTTGCAAACGGGCTAAGGCACCGTGGCTCACTCTCAGCAGGATGGAGTTGCAATCGTCCAGACGTGAAGTTGTGAACGCATCAACTACAGTTTCAAGATGGAGTCTGAACAAACAAGGTTTAGCCTTGTCCAAGGGTCTTAAAGGTAACAGGAGGAAGCTAACACCCCATGGATGTGGCGGTGTGAGCGTCCTGTCTCTGACCCGACTGATCATGCTCCCTGGCGACGCGGCCGAGGGGATGGCCCTTTGGCTGATTGGTGAGCACATGACTCTCACCTGGGAGTCTGGGGATCGAATCCCGCCCGGGCCCTCGCTTCTCCACCCTGCCACACGACCCCAAACAGAAGTCTTTGTCTATCTTCACTCCTAAATGAACAATGTAGTCCCTCTAGTGGGGGTTAATTCACCACCGTCCACCGTGGAGGTACGAGTGTGCGGCTGGGACCGAGCACTGCTGTCTTCCCTCCTGGAGGCACAGACCGGTGTGGTGTTTATATTTGGCTGTTTGTTGGATGTCTTTTAACAACAAATGACCTTGTTGGCCTTTTCCAGCGCTACACAACTCTCAGATGAAAACTGGAAACCTTCATGTTTTCATCAGCCTTCGAATGGCTGTTCTGCTGCTGCACCTGCTCACCCTCTCACCTGGTTTCTTTTCCACTTGAAATTGTGTTTTCTGTCCCGTTGAGTTCATGTTCTTGCTGTGGAAAGCACATTGAACTGCCTCTATGTGAAATGTGTAAATAAATATAACCCTTGTGGTTACGAACATCCAGCATGCTCCTGGGTGGTCCAGGTCCTGCAGGTGTGGCCGGAGATCCTTCGTTACGCGTGCATCAGGCTTTCTGATAGTCGCACTAACAAGCAATTTCTTTTCTGTGTGTCAGAACGTCCACCGCGTTACGACTGGAAGGAGGAGGAGCTAACTGACCTGCAGGACCGTAACCAGAACAGGAAGTCATGTGACCAGAAGCAGCCAGAACCTACACGAGATGAACCTGAACCTCAGCGTAAGGAACCAGAAGGTCTGCTTATGAAAACTGACCAGGATGCATCAGAACCTCTGCCGTCAACAGTGGACCAGGATGAAGGTGTACTGAAGCAGGAGACAGAGACCTTTATGGTGACTCCCGGTTATTCAGACAGAAACCAGAGTGAACCAGAACCAAACAGAGACCAGCTTCTCTCTCAGAGCCATCCTGAAAGTGAGAACCAGTACCGGGAGGAAAGCAGGAACAAAGAGTCCGGATCAAACGGAGACGAAGAGCTGAGACCAAACCAGAGATGTCCTCAAACCAGGGACGATAGAGACGGTCCCAGAGTGAGAAGGTGCAGGAGAACTCACACCCGTGAGAAGCTGTTTTACTGTGAAACTTGTGGTAAATGTTTCTCACAGATTGGTAATTTGACCGCCCACCTAAGGGTCCACACAGGGGAGAAGCCGTTTACATGTTCAGTCTGTGGGAAAAGCTTCAGTCAGAGCAACAATTTACCCTCTCACATGAGGACTCACACAGGTGAGAGGCCATTCCCGTGTGACACCTGTGGGAAAAGCTTCAGCCACAGGTGTTCTTTAGTTTATCACATGAGAACTCACACAGGTGAGAAGCCGTATCCCTGTAGGATCTGTGGGAAGCACTTCTCCCAGAAAGGTAACCTGTCTTATCACATGAGAACTGGACACAGGTGAGGAGCTGCTCAGCTGACTGAAACGGGTCGTAGGGACCGGGAACACATCCTGGTTGAGGCTGGACAGGTGTTGCGTATCGTTCGCTACCACCATCTCCTGCTAATGGCCTGATGGCTCCAACACACCCGGCAGCTTCAGCAGGAGAACCAAACCCAAATGATCCTTCAGAGTTCCCACAGCTGTGAATGACGTCTTTATGGCCTTCGGCTCTTCGACTACATTTCTTAGATCATAAAGTGTGTTTTAGGGTTCGGGGACGCACGTCTGCGTCTCTTAGTGGGTCCAACTTTAACGAACTGGCATAATGAACTGAAGTCAACTGGAATGTGGAAGTGTCTTGAAGTCACTCTTGTCGTGATTTGGTGCCGAATGGAGTTTAGAAATTGTAGAAAGGAAAATCTACGGGATGTTAGGGTGATGAAAGGGAAACTCAGACATCCAGTTTGCTTGAATTCTGCTTTTTCGTTTGTTTTAGAAGACAGGGACTCTGAGGCACGCTTGACCTGCTCTTTAAGAACTCATTAAAAAGCATGTTGTAGGTTAGCCGATGTTTAGAAACACAACAGGAACTGGTGCTAAATACGTCTTACACATTCATTTATTATTGGGAGTCGTTTTTGTGAAGAAAAATGTGTTTTTCTGCCAGAATGGGAAGGAGACCTGTTGGTTTGACCCAGGGAAAATATGGACTCTGATGCCGGCTCTGACACGGGAAACAAGACGACCTGAAACATCTCATGGTCCTGAGTAGTCAGACCCTTTGCTGTGACTCGTGTATTTAACTCAGGTGCTTTCCATTTCTTCTGTTATAGAAATTTTATATTTTATTATTTTTGATCATTACTCCTATCAACTGAAGGTATTACTCTATGCCTGAAAGCATTCTCATTCATTCACACACACACACACACACACACACACACACACACACACACACACACACACCTTCTGTCCCTGATGTTCTCTGCAGTGTGTGCCTCAAGCCTTTGCTTGAACACCTGCCCTGATTGCAAACAGTAGCTTGTCTCGTTAATGATCTCTCCTTTCTGTCCGACTGCAGGTATTAGGTGATTGATAAAATCACTAACATAATCTGATCCTTCGAGCCGGGATTATGTTATGTCATCCTTGACATGGTCCTGCCCCTTCATTGGAGTCCAGCTGTTTTAAGCCACACCTGTCTATAGAAGACCTTAGAGCTCACAATGTATGTCAGAGCAGATGAGAGTCATGAGGTCACAGGAACTGTCTGAGGAGCAGAGACAGTGTCTGGTTCGATGACATCACTCTGGTGAAGCGCATTCGTAGTCCTGGACTCAATTTTCGCACAAAACCTACGATAGCGTTGCCCCTGTTAGAAAATAAGCGCGTTCTTGGTATCAAAATGTGTGTGTAAAATTCATGGACATCATATGTGAAATCCATGGCACAAAACAAGCGGAATTAGAAAAAAGCCTTTTAGCCGCGTTGACTTCCACTCATGTTTTCAGACCGAGTGAGGGGAACAGATAACAAGTTTAGGTTCTATCTCTGCCTTTTTCATTTTTTATTTCTGCAAACCTGTTTTGTGTTTTGTTTTTATTTGTGAATACATGAAAAACTTTAAAAAATATATATTAAAAAATTTAAGATGCACCTGGAAAGACAGAGTACTGTCCAACTCCAAGGCTTTTGACCTGCACCAAACAGGTAACCGAGATATTCTCACAGGCGGGTGCGGTACAATGAGCTCGTTTGGTGCCCCGGCTGCAGACATCCCATCGCGTCAGTTTTACGCTGCATTGGGATCTGCTGTCCGAAAAGGGGAAACCCCCTTTTCTGACATAAGTGACGAAAAAAGGTACTTTTGGTGTCAGGGGTGTGACGCGGAGGGTGGCTGACCAAGCGTTTGTTTGTGAGGCGCTGGGAGTGACAGACAGGGGGTGGGTGGGGTCTGAGTCAACTGTATGAGATGCCTGAAGTTAATCACACCTTAATGTTCTTCCATATATAGCACATTTAATTCATAATATTATAAATACCGGGGGGGGGGGGGGGGGGGGGGCTCAAGGGATGTCTTGCCAGGGGAGTAATTCCATGTAGAACCGCCACTAGGCTAGAGAGAAGCTGCCAGCCTTCACCAGAGTCGATATTGTACCCATGAGAATCACCTCAGTTTTCAGGATAAGTTGGAGGAAGTTTTTGGAAAACCAAGACCTGAGTTCTGTCAAACATTCAATGATAGAAGGAGGTGGAAGAGAATCAGACTGAGAGGTAGAGACATAGAGCTGGGTATCGTCAGCGTAAAAATGAAACTTGATGTTTAATTCCCTAAAGATGGCCCCTAGGGGAAGCAGATAAACTTTAAAAAGAAGAGGTCTGAGTACAAAACCTTGTGGAACCCCAGTAGACACTACAGATGGAGAGGAGTGAACAGTCTTGAGTTGAATGAAGTGAGTCCTATCAGACATATGAGTGAAACCCCTGAAGCACCGTTCCAGATACCCCTACATGGCCAACAGGGGGAGTGAGAGACCATGTCAAATGCAGCACTCAGCTCTAAAACAACCAGGATGGAAAAAGTCCTTAGTCAGCTACCATTAAGAAATAATTTGTTAGACTGTTTCAGTACGGTGATGTGGGCAGAAACCTGATTGAAATGGCTTGACTTGGTCATTGTTCGTTGCTAAATGTATACAGAGCTGTGAAACAACCGTTTTCTCCGGGATTTTAAAACTTGTCCCGTGTAAGTTTTTCAGATGATGTGGCATGCATCACATGTGAAACAAACACACTCAGGCATCTGTTTCCTGTCGGCATGAGCCTTTGGACAGTTCAAGCTCTGAAAAACTGGCTGATTCAAGGTAATCCTGGGTATTTCTTTGTCAGTCTAAAATTATGATTTGTCTACTGTTGCATTTTCAGGTTCTGAAGCTCACCAGGCGCTCGCAGCGATCGTTCTAGAGTCTAAAACGATCGCTGCGAGATATTCTATTATTATTCTATCGTATTATTATATTCTGCCTTAAATTACATCTTTTTGCTAGTCTTTGTATGTGCTTTCAGGTGTCAAGCAGTTGAGGAACTGCTGTGTTACACTGAGCACTTACGGATGATCAAAGCTGACATGAAGCTCCGCTTCAGGGACCTTCAGAACCTGCAAGTACCTGACTGGATTCTGGAGCCTTTTCAGGTGGATGTATTTGAAAAGGAACCCATAATCCAGGAGCATCTCATTGACTTACAAAAAGATGAGGAGGCACAAGCTACATTTCGCACATCTGGCTGGCATGTGATGTGGACTGCGCATGGCCACCGTTTTCCTACATTGTGGGAAAAAGCCCAGATTCTGCTCCTAGCTTTTCCCACTTCTTATCTTGTTGAGCAGTGATTCAGCCAGGTACTGTACTTGCATTCAAAATACCGAAACCGGCTAAAGTCTCAGGTGCACTCAGGCTCAAGTTAACATCTCTCAATGCATCCATAAAAACACTTGCAGCAAATCACCAGGGACAAGAGTCTCACTAATCTACCCACAGCGATGATGACTCTAAGCTATTTTTTATAATTCTTTTTTAATGACATATTTGTATTAAACAGTTTCAAAGTCGAGGCTGAATAGTTTTTTTTTTAATTATTATTATGATTTTTGTACCAAAAAACTTTTCGTTTCTCTGCATGGGACATTGGTGGGCAGTAAGGAATTTCAGCATGACTTGGGGGGGGGGGGGGGGCGTTTAGCTGAAAAAGGTTGAGAAACCCTGTGACTGTTATTGGTTAAGTCGGTGGTTCTGAAGAGAAGGTTTTTTTTAGATACCTGCCATAGATCTCACACACTGTTTTATGAACATCTTGTAATTATTTTTGATTCTCATTGTTTGACTGATTTTTAGTTATTGATCCTTTTTTCCTTTAAGTTTTGACACTAAGCTCTGGACAAGAGTCACATATGTACCCACAGCAAACCCACTGTTGTTAAAAACGCTGAAACATGTGCCCGGTATCAGAGCTACATGTGTGACGTTTGCAGGGGAAAAAACAGCATCAAAATCGGTTCGGAATTCAAGGAGTTATGGTTGATTTAACATGCTGACACTTCAATGCCCCTGTTGGAGGGGCTCGACCGATGCAAGATGGCGGCGTCAACGCTCATCACCGCCCATGGACAGCGGTGGTCACGCGGGGTCTGTCCACATGACGCCCTCTGCTCTGATTGGCTCGCAGGGCGGAAGAACCTTTGTTGCGGCTCGGCTCTGTAGGCTCACTGTGGGGTTGGTTGGCTTTGGACCGTGGTGCCATTCTAAACGGGCCGTGAGCTCTACGGTTCCGTTTCAGCCACACGAGGACGAGCTGCGGTTCCGAAAGGCGCAGAAGATCCGCAGAAGTACGGCTGCTTTGCTCGGTGCCGCAGTCCCGGCCAGAACCGGCGGATAATCCATGCGGGGTTTCTGGTCCCGGTCCCGGTCCGCATATTTACGTTCTGGTTCTGCCGGAACGGTACCACCTAGGAGTTCCGACCCAGACTTTGTCCTATAATGAGCTGAGACGCGTTTCTGGTGAGTTTATCCAACATAAACGGTGAGGAAACGCGTTTACTTCCTGGTTGTGCGAGTAACGAAAAATGTGATTTTCAAAATAAAATAGTAACTGTTTTGTTTTGAGTAGTGATGTCATGAAGCAACGAGACTTTTTTTTTATTGCAGAAAAGCATATTTACATTACAAATAAGGCGAACATGCCAATGTATTCAGATGAGAATCGAACAGTCAGTGAAAAGGGGAGGACAAAAAAACAAACAAAAACCACAAAAACAATGCAAGGGACCACTACACAGTTCCAGGCAGTCTACAAAAAAGTCTATACATATCTTCATAGCTGTTATTATTTAGATACAATCTAAAACCATGTACAAATGCATTGAACACAGGGGGTGATTTCAGTATTTTTTGTTTATGTATGAAGAATTTTGCCAGACAGAGAAGTAGATTGTAGCAGAGTTCTTGGTTGTTTGTTTGAAGGAGAGCTCCAAAGGTGACGACATCTCTTGAAATGGGACATGGGATTCCAATCTGAGGTTGAATCCAGTTTTCAAAACAGTTCCAAAACGTCCGTGTCTTGTTGCATTCAAAGAAAATATGATCAGTTGTTTCAACATCCTTCCCACAAAAGGAACATGAATTATCATCAATGTTAAAACGTTTTCTGAGCAGATCCTTTGAGGGATAGACATTGTTTACAATTTTAAAATGTGTTTCTTTAACTTTAGGTTGAACAGGAAGTTTTAAATAAAGAGTCCTTAGTTAAATAATGGAGCTTTTGCCAAATTTGTTGTTCTTGTTGATTTTACAAGGGTATAGTTGATCAGTGAAACACCGTCTAATAAATTGGTTGGTACACTTTTTATCCGTAAGGGGAATACCTTGGATGGAGATAGAGCCATACTGTGGATTTATAGGTTGGTGTTGAATAATGTTTCTGTACTGGAAGACCACCTCTTTAGGAAGCGCTATTAATAATTTTATAAAATCAGATTTAGGAGGGCTAAAGTTATATTTAAGACAAAATTCATCGTACCCTAGTAGTTCACCATTATCTTTCATCAAGTGTACAACAGACCAAATTTCCCTATTCATCCAATCTTCATAAAATAGTGACCTATTACGGCATAATACATATCTATTGTTCCAAATTATAGAAGAGTGAGGGGAGTAATTATGTACACACAACAACTTCCAATACATTAGTACTTGTTTGTGGAACTCTGATAATTTTGTTTATACCAAAATCTGATAACAGTAAAATTTTTAGACCACCCATGTTGTTAAATATGTGACTGGGGATAGAATACCAGAAAGCGTTCGGATTCTTGAGCCATGATTTCAGCCAATTAATTTTGAGTGTTCCGTTAAGGCAATTGAAATCTATTACTTTTAAGCCTCCATCTTTAATTTCTTTGACCATTTGATCTTTCTTTATATAGTGTGGCTTATTTCTCCAAATGAAGTTAAAATTGATGGTGTTAATCTTTTTAATTAGGTCGTTTGAAATTGCAGTACTGCAGGTTGGATAAACTAATCGAGATATACTCTCCATTTTGGTTAAATAAATGCACCCTAATATGGAGAGATCCCTCTGAAGCCAAATATTTAGTTTGGCTTTAATATCATTAAGTTTATTTGTTATGTTTGTCCTTAGGTTAAATCGTTGGTCTTTAGAAATATATGTTCCTAGATATTTAATTTCGGATTTGATGGGAATGTTACAAATTTCTTTTAGAGGGGAGTCATGAATAGCCAATAGTTCGCATTTTTTCAAATTTAGCTTAAGTCCACATGCTGCAGAGAATAGCTTTATTTTATCAATAGCAATAGGAATTTGTTTATAATCTTTTAAGAAAAGCGTGGTGTCATCCGCTAATTGACTTATGATCAACTCTGTGCCAAGGACATTTAACTTTTTTAGATCCACACAGTTTTTTAAGTAGATTGCTAACATTTCACTAACTAATATGAAAAGGCAAGGAGAAATGGGGCAGCCTTGTGGTATGCCCACAGAGACATTGAACCTGGGGTGGAACCTCTGGGTAATGAAACACAGCTGCTGATATTCCGATACAAACCTCTGATTAGATTAGTAAACTTAACTCCAAAGCCAAGATGTTCTAGAACTGAGAAGATAAATTGGTGTTCCACTGAATCGAATGCTTTATAGAAATCTAAAAATAGTATGAAACCGTCATCATTTATCATATCACTGTATTCAATAATATCCATTACCAATCTTATATTGTTGTGAATAGATCTTCCTTTTAAAAATCCTGACTGTGTTTCCGAAACAATATCTGAAATTCCAGATTGAACACGTATCTTGAAAATGTAAGTCAGAAGTTTATAATCTGTATTTCTTAGGGTAATTGGTCTTCTGTTTTCAATAATCCTATGGTCTTTATCTGCTTTTGGAATTGATATCATTACACCGTGTCGCATTGTAGGAGGCAGATCGCAGGATTCAAAAATCTCTGAGAAAACACCAAACAGTAAATCTTTTATTTCTTCCCAGAAATGATGGTAGAAGTTGGCTGTAAGTCCATCTGGACCGGGAGCTTTGTTCAGGCATAGTCGCTTCACAGCTTTATCCAACTCTAAGCCTGTTATATTGTCATCACATAAAAGTCTGAAGTCATCACTGATTTTAGGAATATGCATTTCAATACTGTTCAGGAAGTTATTACAATTTTCTTCAGAGAATTTTGAGGAGTACAAACTGTCATAAAATTTAAGAATTTCCTTTGAAATTATCTC